ACTCTGAGTCAGACCTGGTCCTGGACCCGGCCTGACCCTCAGACTCTGTGTCCATCATTTCCTGTCACTCTCCTGCTGCCATCAGTGTCTGTGCAGCCTGAAACTGTGTCAATAATCTGCTGGACAGTAACATTCAGTAAATAAAAAGGTTTGATGTGAAACACAGACCTGCTGCCACGTGTTGGACTGTGAGCACAGACTACAGCCATAGTTTACCAGTTTATAAATAAAATAACTAAATACTAAACCAGAAGATGGCGTCCATTTACACTGAAGAGTGGAGTGGCTTGTTGTCCCGGCTGTACCAACGTTTTACACAGAACACTTCCTGTTAGTGCAGTAGGTTCTGACAGACCCTGAAATGGAATAAAATACTCCAGATGTAAAATCAAACCCAAAAATAGGATGAGAAGTGTTTCCACTGTCCAACAAGTGACGCAGATCGGTAGTGTTATGTTTGATCACAGGAACAAATGAAATTCACAGCTACACATTCAAACAACTCAGCTTTAATGTGAAAGGTGCGTCACAGGAAACTGGTCCAGACTTTTTGTTGTGATGCTGAAATAAAACGACCAACCCACCAATTCAGACAAACCAGTTTCTTTAACCTTTGTTTGCCATGTTGTGTTTGTATGATTTAGTCCAGATATCCTGTATTGTTCATGTAAACCCTCCTGATTCAGTTTTATTAGATCACTCCTGTGTTTTCACTTGGTTGTAATCACCAATCAAATAACCCCATAATTTCATCTCTCTGTAAACGTCTGTGGCCAGTGTTTGTTGCTTTTTGATGTGCTTTACAAATAAACTGGGCTAGCACGCTGTCCGCTGTGTGGCTGCGTTGTGTTGGGCTTTTCCTGTGGGGGAACTGGGACTCGTGGGCTCAGTGTTCACACTGGACCAAAGATGTTAGTGTGAAACCAGCTGCTCTGATTCTTCAGCTTCGTGTCTGTGGGACCACGTCTGAGGTGGTTTAATTTCACAGTTCGGCACCGAGTCCTTGTTTCACCAAGAGCGTGGACGTGACCGACAGAGCGCCGAGGGCTGCAGCACGGAGGCCAGTGTTTGTGTTGTAGGGCTCATCTGCATGACAGCACTGAACACAAGCACAGCTGCAAAAGGCAGCTCGCTTCTCCTTTTCACACACACGGCTCGGGTGCACGTATAAAGGCTTAAACAGAGGATGTCCAAAGACTCCACAAACAGTTCAGTGTGCACGGCTCCGTTCAGTGCACTCTCCTCATCCAGCACTTTGATTCTGAGACTGTTTCCTCCACCACAACGTTTTAGAGAAAGGCCTTTCATTTCAACGTCTGCCTGTGAACACAGGGTCTTACGGAACAGCTGGAGGGACGTAAAGAGAGAGAGTAAACAAACGGGTTGTCATAGTCGATGACGTCGCTGTGAGCACGAGGGCTGTGGAATAGCTTCTAGTCTTTATGTCCTGCTTCATGTGTAACATTTGCTTCTACTCATTTTTCTCCATCTTCTGGTTTTACATCGGATTAAAAACTGTGCTCAGTTCGTTTTCTGGGTGAATATGTGGTTAAGCAGTTTACCAAAACCAAATGTCTGACAAAAAGTAATCACAGAGAAACTAACCTTCACATTTGGTGTCAGAGTCTCTGCATCACGCTGCTGACCTCTGGACTGTGCCACCACTACCTACACTGTGAATCACACTGCTCAGAACTGTTGGATTTACATTATAATGGGATTAGTTTGAGTTTGTGACCTTTATTACTTATTGACTTTGCACTGTGAGGCCTAAACATCCTCCAGGAATAATGAAGGCCCTGCCTGTCAGCGTGCAGCATGTCACATAGTAAGGCTATTGACAGTGACCTCCTCTTGGAGGAGCAGGTCTGACTCCAGTAACAAACCCAGACAGACCTTTAACAAACTGTTCTCCAGTAACAAACCCAGACAGACCTTTCTGGGACACGGTACATTAATGGATGCATGAAAAGGTTCAGCCAACGCCAAACACACAACTCTCAGCACGCAGTAGTACCAGGTAGGGTCACACACAAGACTACGATTAAACTACTGCTGCCAGGAGGGTTTTGTTCAGCTGTGTCCCACTTTCTATAACAGACTGGAGCGTTATTAACTGGAACCCCCTCCCCACCCACACCCCTGGGAGGAGAAAGGCCCTGGGGCCCCAAACCCGGCGCGGGGTGACAGAAGATGAGCAGATGGAAACACGAGTTTTAATTACAGATGAGAGAACAAATGTGTCTGAAGTGTTTTTTGTCAACTAGAAGAGTACTCACCTCTCTTGCTCTCTCTCATTCTCTCTTTAGCTCGCTCGCCCTCTCTCGCCCCAGTTGCCCATTCTGTTGAGAGCATTTCCATATCTGAGGACGCACACATCAAAGACAGCGTTACAGAAAAGCCTGTGTGTCTCAGCTGTTAGTTACTGAATACATCAGTGGACACACAATGAACTTGTGTGTTTCCATTCACAGATGATGAAGGCTACGTCCATCCAGCCATCGCTGGTGCAGAACAAACCCGGTGCACAGAAAGGGAGTCTCTACTCCTGCCGAGCCTTCGTTTCTCAGTCACAGTGAATGAAATGAGACTTTTCATACTGATCAACTGAGAAAACAACTTTTTATTGTCAACATAAAGCAACTAGACAAACACAAATATAAAACAATCCATTAAATGCACATAATTCTATTATCTTTTTTTTTTTATTGCAGCTTGAAAAATAAAACCATTTCCAGGACAATTCAGTTGGAGCATGTGGTCGCGGTGGAGGCTGCTGTTCAGCTGGACTGGGCTGTACTGAGAGACGTTGCTGGTATTTTGTCCATCGGCAGTAACAGCTCTCGCTGAATAGCAGCCGTGGGTTAGGAGAGGAGTTAAACCATAAAACCAGTCAGTGACTTCATGTTTGCAGGTGGTGGTGATGAACACGAACCAGAACGGGTCTAAAAGACAATAGTTCACACACACACTGAACCAAACTAGGGGTATGAAACATGCTTCATGTTCTCATCCGGTCCCTTTGGTGCAAACTGGACCTCAACCTTTAGTCCTAACACCAACAAAAGAAACATTCCTGTTGTGCCCAAACCCAACCGAGGTGCCACTGTTTCTGTTCAGACCCCGTCAAGCTGGAAGCTTCTGGAGGCGCGAGGTGTTAACAGTACGGTCCTGGTCTCTACAGGTCTGTCTGGTCTCAGTCTGTACGAGGTTTCCACCCCAGGAAGACAGGTTTAAAGAGTCCATGAGCCTGAGACTGGAAAAGGACAATAGACAGGAGACAAAGACAGAGAGCAGCAGTGAGAGAGGACAACAAACAGAAAACCAAGATTCCTGCCAAAACATTAGCAACAATCTATCGGCCAAAAAAGATGTTTTTATACCATAAACATCTTAATGTGGATCCTTGAGATTTATTTATTTAGGAACTGTGACAAAGACACAAGCAGAGCAGAACATTTCACCATGCACATTTAAAACCCCTCAGCGCCCTCTGGTGGACGAGCTCTGTAACAGAGACCCTGTTTCTAACCAATGTCAGACATGTCTTGTTACTTTCTGCCAAACATTAACACCAACACAGACAGGTGACAAGTTATAAGAGAACCCTCAGCAAGTGAGTGGTCTCCTCTAGGAGCACTAGAGTACAACAGTACAAGGACAAATACTGTCCACAATCCTAAGTCTAGCTGCTTCACAAACACTGACCCGTTTTGCTGGTCCAGTTGCCATCAGCCTTGCCGGAGGACGGCGGTCTTCTGTTCCAGCAGCCACTGAGCAGCGACCCAGCTGGCGTAGATCACATAAGACCAGGTTAGGGTCAACTGTAATGCTAGTCTTAATATTTGTCTTAATGTGTAAGGTTATGTCCAATTGTTTAGATACACACCACGAAAACAACAGTCACGCACCTTGACTTTTCCTCATGTTTTGGCTAAACGATAGAGCAGCTGCAAAGCTTGCTTATAGAGTGGCGTCACGGTTTGACGCCCCTTGTAGCATGGGCCAGCCCAAAAATGATTAATATTATATAGGTTGTGGGGTCCAGACATCTTCCAGTTTTTTCTGCTGCCTGCAGGCAGAGGAGGGCTAACGCACTCATCTTAATCTAATCCAATCCAATCATTTAGTCATTTTGATTTCTTTATCTACGGAATATAAAACAAACTGTATATAACATACCTTAAAAATAACTGTAAAAACTGTCATTTATAATTACAGCACAAATGACAAGATTACAATTCAGAAGTGAAGAATTTCTCAGTAGCTCAGTTACACTGAATGCTTTCTTTTCCTTGAATTTAAAGTGTCAATAAATGAATCATGAAAAATGCTCACATTTAGATGAGATTCCTCCTTGCTCTTCCTTAATTGTTTAATTGCGGTCGGTAGAAGCACAATACCGCCACCGTCTGTTACGGAGGGTTGACCGCAGTTTGAATTACTCTATAATAGAGAGTAATATTCTAACAATATATTAAAACAATTGCAGCTGCTGTCCTGGGGTCTGTGCAGTTTTCTGTTCATCCTGTGGAGCTCATTGTTATGCAGCGTATAAGTTTATTAAGTTGCACGTTTTGTTTGGTTTTTATGTGTTTTGTATTTCTTATATTTCTTTCTCTATTTCGGTTCTGTACCGGAAACAAATTCCTTGTGTGTAACATAAAGGTGATTATCCTTATGCAACATTATGAATGGCATTTGTTTTTGTATATTGATATAGTTTTGTTTTGAATACAATTAGTCCCATAAGTTTTATTTTGTCGGAACTACTTCCGGTCCTTTGATGAGAGAGAAGACACTTAAAACGTTAATTTAAGTTTATGTTTGAGTTTTACTACCAGCCAACGTGGTATGTCTCATTTTTGATTATGAATTTATTGTTGCACCGTGTCTATGCGATGTGAAGTGACGTGGTTGTTTATTTCCGTTGTATTTACCTTGTTTGTTAGTTCTACGGTGTTTGGTGTATAAAGGAAGAACACATTAAACATCAGTGAAAAGAAACTCCTGTCCTCGCGTGTGACTGAGGCCGACATAACAATAGACTCTACCCTTCGAAACGACAGTCACACCTAAAACAGCCACTAGAACCTGACTGTGTTGTCATGGAGCGGCGGGACCGTGAGGGGCCCAGCACGGCGAAACCGACCGTTACCATGACAACGATATGTCTAGAACGACGAGGTCTCACTCCGCTTCATTTTTCAGGAGCAACAAACATCCTGTGTGTCTGTTCAGATTGGAGTTGGCGTGGATAGATTACTGAACGAGCCCCTCGGGAACCGTGAAGGGACTGTTAACCCTTCTGTTGAAATGTCAATCAAATGACTACAAAACCAAATTTTTAAAAGGCACAACATGAGCAAAGAATAAATACAAAACCATTCAAGAGAGACACAAAATGACTTAAATGCAACACCCAAATGACAGCAGAAAGACCACAAAAACATAGCAAGTAACACAAAAGAACTACAAGGAGATCTGAAACAAACAAAACATGCAGGCACAAAGTATGTAAGAATAGGTGCAAAAATAACTGCAAGGAGACACAAAGCAATTACAATTTAACATAAACTAGCTAAAAACAACTACAAAGTGACAAACTACAAAAGAGACAAACTTGGTACACAGGTGGCTCAATCTGTGTGTCTTCCTCCTATAAAGATTGTCAAGGCACCATTTCCCTGCGTACATTCCTTTTGTGTTTGTCTAAAAAGTTGTTTAAATCTTTTAGATCTCACTTTACAGACTGTGGTCATTCAGAATGGATAACCTTAGCTGACTGTAACTAGCTTATAGCAGACCCAGAGATCCCGTCTATGAGAACAACAGCCATAAAAACGACTGCACCCTGATCTCAGTTCTTGGTTCAGGAGCTAATGCTACCTAGCAGTTGTTGGCAGATAATACAAACACTGCAGATGAGTCTGTTTCTGTCCTGTCTGTGCTCAAACTGAATAATAAAGTGGACCTTTGGACATAGGTGAAGCATCCGCTGCTGTATGTAGGGGTAATATTTATGCATTTTTTAAATTAAATAATAGATGTAGACACCCTCTGCCCAGTGTTTGATTGTTTGTTGTTGTTTGTTGCTTTTCTTTTCTCTCTCCTCTATCCACTCACTCCAACTGATTGAGGAAGAAGGCCACCCACCAAGAGCCGGGGTCTGTCAGAGGTTTCTTCTGTTAAAAGGAGTTTTTCCTCCACATTGTCGCCAAGTGCTGCTCAGAGGTGTTTGTTGGATTTGCCTCCATTATGATAATAATAATAATAGTAGTAGTAGTAAGGTCTAAACCAGGGGTGGGCAAACCTTTTGGCTCAGGGGCCACATTGACTTTTAAAATTTGACAGACGGGCCGGGCCAGCACCAGATGCATACATATCAAACATAAACATATAAAAGGCATTACAGTGTTAATACTTACATTCACTTTTAGTGGGAACAGTGTTGTTGATCACCCTTTTTTGCCAGTGCATCGGGTAGAGCCAAACAACACCAGCATCCTCTGTGCCATCTTCTGGATGTTTGGAAATTTGGCTGCACTTAATGAAGCATAAAACTCATCCAGTTTAAGAGAGTTGAACTTCTCCTTTAAGACGGTGTCACATTGGAGATCAATCAGTTCCAACTGCAACTCCTGTGGCGCCGTTTCAGGGTCTTGTGTGAAGGGACATGACACCAGATGAAGTGACTTGTCAATTTTTCCAAAATCAGAGAACTGACGGCAGAATTCTCCGTGCAGGTCGTCCAGTGATTTCCTGTATTTGTTCACATGTCGAGGGGCCTCTTTCAGCGTAGCCAGTGTGGAGAAATGAGTAGATGACTTATTTGACATTTGCTTTGAGAATAAAGCTAGCTTGGTTTTGAAGGCTCTGATGTATGTGAACATTTCATGCTCGAATAAAGTTGACGAGTTTTACAACTGTCTTCACTACGTGGTCAAGATGCAATACAGATTTACACAGTGCTTCCTGGTGGATTACGCAGTGTAGGAAAATGACCTCCTGCTTAGGGTTGTCCTCTTTCACCCTCCCCTCAATTCTTTTGAGCAGCCAGACATTTTTTCCAGTCAGATTTAGCGATCCATCTGTGGTAACGTTGGCCAGCGTACTCCAAGGTAGCTTGTGCCTCTCAATGACCCCCGACACTCTGTCATACAAGTCCTCTTCCCGCGTTTTCCCCTTTAGGGATTCCAAGGCCAAAAACTCCTCTGTTAACTCAAAATTGTCATTAATCCCTCTGATAAAAATTAAAAGCTGAGCGGTGTCCTTTATGTCATTACTTTCGTCCAGTGCCAAGGAATATAATGTAAATGACTCCACTTTTTTGTTTAGCTTGCTAGCCAAGTCTTCGTCAATTAGCTCAACACAGCGAGTCACTGTCCTGCTAATTTTTTCAAATTTGTTCTTGCTCTCAGGACACAAGATACCTGCTGTCTCTACCATGCACTCTTTGAGAAACTCCCCTTCAGAGAAAGGCTTGCTGGTCTTTGCTAATTTGAATGCCAGCAAATAACCTGCCTTCCTGCTTGATTCTTGGATGGCAGTTTGTCAGATAAAGGTGTTTTGCTGAGCCTGCAGTTCTTGCGTTGACTGGTTGTTAGCATAATTAGCATGCTTGGTAGAAAAGTGACGGCTGATGTTGTATTCCATTAAAACCGCAACGGTTTCTTGGCAAATAAGACATACAGCCTTTGACTGGACTTCAGTAAAAAATATTTAGTTGTCCATTCCTTATTGAACACTCGGCACTCACTGTCGACTTTTCTTTGGCCCACTCATTGTTGCAGATGGGTTCAGAGCAGTACCAGAGTAATAACTGAGAGTAGCCCTGGCTCCGCAAAATCAAGTCAATGTATCACCGCTCCTAATGCGCCACCTGGTGGAACGCCAGGCATTACAGGACAAGGTCAAATGAATGCAGTCATAATTATGACATGATTTGATTTGGGCAATCCTGTACCAACCTTCTGTGGGCCGGATTAAAAGGACCAATGGGCCAGATGTGGCCCGCGGGCCGTAGTTTGCCCACCCCTGGTCTAAACCTTACTCTGTAAAGTATCCCGAGATGACTTTTGTTGTGATTTGATGCTGTACAAATAAAACTGAACTGAATCTATGTAGTGTATATGCCTATGATGGATAATGAGCGTGATGCTCCCAAAATGGTGCACTTTCCCAAAATTCAACACAGTGTGATGACAACTTCACATTATCTATAAGTTTAGAAGATGTGAAGACCCATTGTCTCATAAGCTGTCCATAGAGATGAGTGGATGTTTAACAGTGGTACTTAAACACAATTCTGAGGTAGCTACTTGTACATGAGTGCTTTCATTTTTTCTTACTTTATGTTCCACCTTTCAGAGATAAATGTCGTACGTTTTATTAAGCTTTTCAAACTAAGTACAAGACCAGGGTATCGTAATAAGAGTTAGTAAGTCGTAATAACGTGATAAGCTCCTCCAACATTTTGACCTCTGGTTGATTGCAGTACGCTTCTGTAACAGACGATCTTTGGCACAAAAAAAGAGGACATTTCACTTCCCATCATGCACCACGGGACCGTTCTCAATCCTGCTGTGTGTAGCTGCTTTTTGGATGGTAGCACTCGATAATGTGTGTGTTATTAACGGGACTTTCGGTTTAAACGGATCAGAATAGCGAAGCTTGGCAGACTGATACCGTGGCTGACGGTGGATGCCGCTCACGGTGCGGAGTTCACCCCGGAGGAGGAGGAAAAACCTGGATGAGAAGCTGTCTGAACAACCCGGGGAGTGCACTTCTGCTCAGGTCAGAAGGCTA